GTGGCTGGGTCTTCCAGCATGACAACGACCCGAAACATACAGCCAGGGCAACTAAGGAGTGGCTCCGTAAGAAGCATCTCAAGGTCCTGGAGTGGCCTAGCCAGTCTCCAGACCTGAACCCAATAGAAAATCTCTGGAGGGAGCTGAAAGTCCGTATTGCCCAGCGACAGCCCCGAAACCTGAAGGATCTGGAGAAGGTCTGTATGGAGGAGTGGGCCAAAATCCCTACTGCAGTGTGTGCAAACCTGGTCAAGACCTACAGGAAACGTATGATCTCTGTAATTGCAAACAAAGGTTTCTGTACCAAATATTAAGTTCTGCTTTTCTGATGTATCAAAAACTTATGTCATGCAATAAAATGCAAATTAATTACTTAAAAATCATACAATGTGATTTTCTGGATTTTTTTTTTTTTTAGGTTCCGTCTCTCACAGTTGAAGTGTACCTATGATAAAAATTACAGACCTCTACATGCTTTGTAAGTAGGAAAACCTGCAAAATCGTCAGTGTATCAAATATAGTGGAGAAAAAAAGTATTTAGTCAGCCACCAATTGTGCAAGTTCTCCCACTTAAAAAGATGAGAGAGGCCTGTAATTTTCATCATAGGTACACGTCAACTATGGCAGACAAAATTAGGAAAGAAAATCCAGAAAATCACATTGTAGGATTTTTTATGAATTTATTTGCAAATTATGGTGGAAAATTAGTATTTGGTCAATAACAAAAGTTTCTCAATAATTTGTTATATACCCTTTGTTGGCAATGACACAGGTCAAACGTTTTCTGTAAGTCTTCACAAGGTTTTCACACACTGTTGCTGGTATTTCGGCCCATTCCTCCATGCAGATCTCCTCTAGAGCAGTGATGTTTTGGGGCTGTCGCTGGGCAACACGGACTTTCAACTCCCTCCAAAGATTTTCTATGGGGTTGAGATCTGGAGACTGGCTAGGCCACTCCAGGACCTTGAAATGCTTCTTACGAAGCCACTCCTTCGTTGCCCGGGCGGTGTGTTTGGGATCATTGTCATGCTGAAAGACCCAGCCACGTTTAATCTTCAATGCCCTTGCTGATGGAAGGAGGTTTTCACTCAAAATCTCACGATACATGGCCCCATTCATTCTTTCCTTTACACGGATCAGTCGTCCTGGTCCCTTTGCAGAAAAACAGCCCCAAAGCATGATGTTTCCAGCCCCATGCTTCACAGTAGGTATGGTGTTCTTTGGATGCAACTCAGCATTCTTTGTCCTCCAATCACGACGAGTTGAGTTTTTACCAAAAAGTTATATTTTGGTTTCATCTGACCATATGACATTCTCCCAATCCTCTTCTGGATCATCCAAATGCACTCTAGAAAACTTCAGACGGGCCTGGACATGTACTGGCTTAAGCAGGGGGACACGTCTGGCACTGCAGGATTTGAGTCCCTGGCGGCGTAGTGTGTTACTGATGGTAGGCTTTGTTACTTTGGTCCCAGCTCTCTGCAGGTCATTCACTAGGTCCCCCCGTGTGGTTCTGGGATTTTTGCTCACCGTTCTTGTGATCATTTTGACCCCACGGGGTGAGATCTTGCGTGGAGCCCCAGATCGAGGGAGATTATCAATGGTCTTGTATGTCTTCCATTTCCTAATAATTGCTCCCACAGTTGATTTCTTCAAACCAAGCTGCTTACCTATTGCAGATTCAGTCTTCCCAGCCTGGTGCAGGTCTACAATTTTGTTTCTGGTGTCCTTTGACAGCTCTTTGGTCTTGGCCATAGTGGAGTTTGGAGTGTGACTGTTTGAGGTTGTGGACAGGTGTCTTTTATACTGATAACAAGTTCAAACAGGTGCCATTAATACAGGTAACGAGTGGAGGACAGAGGAGCCTCTTAAAGAAGAAGTTACAGGTCTGTGAGAGCCAGAAATCTTGCTTGTTTGTAGGTGACCAAATACTTATTTTCCACCATAATTTGCAAATAAATTCATTAAAAATCCTACAATGTGATTTTCTGGATATTTTTTTCTCAATTTGTCTGTCATAGTTGACGTGTACCTATGATGAAAATTACAGGCCTCTCTCATCTTTTTAAGTGGGAGAACTTGCACAATTGGTGGCTGACTAAATACTTTTTTCCCCACTGTAATTCTCCTAATCTGCTATGTAAATACTCCTAACCTGCTACGATAAAGTCACTTCCGGTCGTAGCTGTATCGAAGTGGCGTGTTTTTAGGGAATCTCGTAAATATGTGAACGTCAGCATTACATTGACTTAAGGTATTGATGAATTGCACATGTACTGATTAATTGCACTATTAACCATGTGTTTGCAGACACGTCCACAAGTCCTGCATGGATGAGAACAATTGCATAATCTGGAGGGACACTCTTCTACCCATTCCAGAGGATTCTGACTTGAAAGTAGATGTAAGCGACCTGTCATCTCAGAACCTTGGGTCTCTGCCGGCTTGTTTTAAATGATATTTTCCTCGTTCACAAAATGGTGGTCTCAGTCTATTCCCTTCATTGTTTTTCTTGATATAAATCAATGTTTTTCTTCTGTTCTCAGGTGGGGAGGATAACATGTCCATTACTGCTGGTTGTCGAACAAGATGATTAGAATTGGGCCGCTGTTGAATCCACTGATGATGTGAGCAATGTTCCTGACAGTATTGAGTGTGTACTTATGTAGCCTACTCAAAAAAATGGCATGCGTTTATGAATGTATTATTTAATGGGCTGAATTATTACTTGGGATCTGTGAGCATAACTTTCTCCTCAGGTTGAAGCAGATGATGGATAGAGCAGGGCACAATGTGAATCCCAAATCACCCCCTCGGCCCTACCAACTCGCTCGGAGGGCCCTCCATTGTCACGTGTTGCTGACAAAACTCAGAGGGAGACTTTCAGAGAGTGGCAAGGGGATCAATAAACCCATCAACATCGGGACATACACGTGACTTGAATAATGCAATTCATGTTCCACATTCAAATAATAAAACGAACATACAATTCTAATTAACAAATTCCGCCTGTCGTTATACAAGATATAAACCTCTGTAACAGATAAACATTTACTTTGGGAGGTATTGCATTTGTTACATGTGTAAAACTTTGAAATCAGAAAAAAACTAATGCAAGTCGCATATAATTAGGCACGCCTCTCCATTCTTTTGTATGAAATTGTGCAAACTCCAAACATATCACGGTGCATGTTGGGATACCACTTCGCTCTGGAGCCTGCAGGCTTGCAGGCTTGGTCGAAGTGGCTATCGGAGGGTCTAATTAGCCCCTACAAACACTTTTCTCTCCCTCAGCTTTGGGACACTTGTGCATATGACAGAGGCGCGCGTGAACGTGCAAATGGAGTGCTGAGGGGAAGGGGGTGATTTGGGATTGAGACAGACTCATGCTGACCACTTTTGGTGCTTTCAAGACAGCTTTGAACTCGGAAAAGAATGAAATCATGACTTCAGTAATCTTCAGGTCAGAAAGTCAGAGCTCTAAAAAGATGCCCAAGTTTCTCACTTTGAATTCCGTGTTGGATGACCATTCAAAATAATTTTCCCAGTCGGAGCTAGTTTTTTTCCAAGTTCCCAGTTGTCTTGAACGCACGGAAGTCGGAGATTTCCGAGTTCCCAGTTGTTTGAACGCAGCATTCAACCTACCCTGGAGCTGGTCACCTGAATGAACCGCCATATAGTCCTCTCTGCCATGCCTGTAAGTTTGTGGAGGTTGGTGGTGTGGTGTCGAGACAACGATGCTGATATGCTGTGTAGACAAGAAATCCGCTTGACACTGTACTTGATTATAAAGGTTTATTATATCAAAAGGTTCCAGCGTCAATTTACAGATTTCTGCAGAAATCCGGAGAACAACTAACCCAATCTAAAAATGATTATTCTCCCCGTCCTTTGTTGAAAACCTGATATATATCCTATGTAACATAAGATGGGTGTTTTGAATAGACCAATCACTGGCTTCCACATATCCAAGTCTCCTCTGTTTCAGGGGGCCCCTATAGTAATGCTTTCCAGATGTTTCAGCAAAGCAGAGTAAAATTCCTCTAACACACCATTTGCAAACGTCAGCCAAAATTATAAACTGTTCAGATACTACAGTGGCATCTTAATTGGGGAGGACGGGCTCATGGTAATGGCTGGAGCAGAATCGGTGGAATGGTATCATATACATCAAACACATGGTTTCCAGGTGTTTGATGCCATTCCATTTAATCCGTTCCTGACATTATTATGAGCCGTCCTCTCCTCAGCAGCCTCCACTGGTAGAAACAAACCAGAAATGTAAATAATGTCTGCAATACTGTTGTACTTCAGCAGGGATTTATTAGTGAGATGGACAATGTTTAATTCCCCATTTTATCACAAATGAGCAGTGAAACCACACATACTTCAACTAAGTTAATTAGCTGTTAACTTATCAATTGGGTAATGCCCAACAACACAAATACCTATACCAGAAACATATGTGCAATTTGAAAATAACTTTTGTGGGTGGAAAAAAACAACCAATAAACAGCTTTTTTTTTTTTTTTTTTTTTTACATTTGATCCATGTTATTTAGCAAAAACTGGTATTTCTAGATAAAAACAAAAACAAATAGATATATTCAGTTTACATTTATTGTATGGCAACAATATTACGATTCTACCTACAATGCTGTTTCACCTGTGGTGGCCTTGAAGTTCTACTGTACTGTAGTTTTACTATTAAATACCAGGGAGTGGATAGACGTCTTTGAAAACAGGAAGGAAATAATTAATTATTTGAAACTACAGCAATAATAGACAAAGTCCTCTTCAGAATTCAGTGACATTGCTTGGGCACAAAGGACTGAAAACTAAGTTGAGATCTGTGCATATTACCCAGAAAGAAATGCTCGTTCTATGTTGATGACCTCACAATCCAGACTGTGGTTCAACGCTCTGGAAGAGATGCTCTCAGAGAAAACCTAGAATTTTCTCCCAGGTGTAGGAGTGACGACTCCTGACGTAAAACAATGCTCACAATCTGGACTGCACATGGGGTTTGACACTGTGACAGAGATGCTCTCGCAGAAAACCTAGAATCTTCTCCCATGAGTCTTCCTGTGCAACGGCGTGAAGTTTGGTGAGGCCTCCCCATAGCATGACCACTGCAACAAGTTGGAATGATAGCTTTAGATTTGAGACATTTGAGACATGCTCTTATGACTGTGTAATATAGACCTATATAAAAATGTATTCAAGTAGCATAAGAAAAATCTAAAACTGTAGGATCATTAGTGGACTAGTTTAATCTGGTAGGCTTGAGCACAAATTTGCTAACCCCTGTGGTCCCAGAGGAATGTATTGGGAATCCTATAGGAGCACAATAACTATAAAAGCACAGTTTGTCTGCATGAATGACTCTGGAAAGGCACCTCTCTGTTGGCCTGGCTTCAACACAAAGGTACAAGCCCTGCAGTGGGGACCATACGGCGGTTCAATCAGGTGACCAGCTCCAGGGTAGGACAGAGTGGTCAGCAGGTGACTGTTCCCTGCTCTCTCCATCATCTGCTTCATCTGAGGAGGAGCATTTGATGGACTTTAACAGGGTTTATATCCAAGCAATACTTCTCACAAGCAAATCCATTTTAAGAATAGGCTACATAAGGACACACTCAATACTGTCAGGAACATTGCTCACATCATCAGCGGATTCAACAGCGGCTAAATTCTGATCATCTTGTCCGACAACCAGTAGTAATGGACATGTTATCCTCCCCACCTGAGACCAGAAGAAAAATATTGATTTATATCAAGAAAAACAATAAAGGGAATAGACTGAGACCACCATTTTGTGAACGAGGAAAATATCATTTAAAACAAGCCGGCAGAGACCCAAGGTTCTGAGATGACGGGTCGCTTACGTCTACTTTCAAGTCAGAATCCTCTGGAATGGGTAGAAGAGTGTCCCTCCAGATTATGCAATTGTTCTCATCCATGCAGGACTTGTGGACGTGTCTGCAAACATATGGTTAATGGTGCAATTAATCAGTACTTTAGTCCTCTCCCAAAGTCAATGCTATGTCAATTTACAAACACATTTATATGCACATACACAGGTACAAACGTACTCTTTCATCACATTGAAGGATTCTGCAATGGACTGGTTGGCTTTGAGTGTGAGAACATGGCTGCCACTGATGCACACACAACATTTTGGCTAAAAAGGTAGACAAGCATTAATTTACACAGTACATATCGTTTAATTAAACATTTTCAGAGCAACATACATCATGTAGACTCATATAGTGATACATAAAATGTATAAATAGAACAGATAGACATGCATGCCATATATTTTCCAATATTTACATTTTCGTCATTTAGCAGCGCTCTTATCAATATCATGGTAAACATTTCGCAACTACAAATGGGAGAATCATACTGATGAACTAAGACAGGGGCATTTTTGGTCTGATGCAAGTACAAATGCATGTTTATCCAGGAAACTAACAGGAGATGAAATAGGGACTTACTTTTACAGTTTCTGAGAAGACAGCGAGGGATAAAGCAACTGAGGCACCAAAGGACGTGCCAAGCAGGGCAATTCTGTCAGAGGCCACTAGAGTGTGATCCTGCAGCAGTCTGAAAGCATTCTGAGACAAGATATCAGCATTATATGTAAGACAGTGGTTTTCAAAGTCCCCAAATCAATTCCTCTCTTGTATCTCCATAAGAAAATGGGGCAGATACACACCTCAATGTAATGGTAGCCAATGGTAGCAGCTTTCTGTGCATCTGGGAAGAGATACATTAATGCCATGGCAGCAAAGCCGTGGGATGCCAAGAGAGCCGCTCGATATTCCACCAGCCCGCCACCACCTCCCCACATGTCTAAAACTCCGGGGAAGGGTCCGGGACCTTCAGGATGACATGACAAAAACATTATTGTTTGTTTCTACCCGAGAGCAGAGCATGCATCTTTACATCCATGTACTGTATAGTTCTTTAGGTCTGTCCTCTATAGTAAATCATTGATGTATTATTGTACTTGTCAAGAACCTAGTTTAAGCAACCAAAACATATATATAGTGCACTCCCCTTGTAGTGAATGCCGTTACAGTGAACAACTGCCTATACAAATTGTCCTGCACGGATGTGATCACTCAGGATAGTAGGCATGTAGTTTACCTGGTGGCAGGAACAGGGTCCCTGTGACCCCTCCCTCTGTGATGTCGACCCTGCGGACTCCGGGGGCCATGTACCAGCGCTCTGTGACGACACTCGCCAGGGCCGCCTGCTCCCTGAAACCCTGACGCATGTGTCCCCTGTACACAGAGATGTGCACCACCATGGGAATGTCGACTTCTTTGATCCTGAATCTTAAGGGTCAGAAAGTACCAACAGAACAGCTGGCATCATTGTTACATATGGTGGCAGCGGTGGGATATTGACAGGTTCAAAAGAACAAAATCTCCAAAAATGAACAGTTAATAAAATCAGGTGGGGTTGAAGTGCTTACCTGAGTCCAGTTCTACTGCCAGGTATTGGTCTCATGCTCCCCAACAGACCCATTGGATCAACACCATCATATGTGCCCCCAAAACTTTCATCTTTGGCAACTATAAACAAAAAAACAATGTCCTAACTTTTGGTAACTGCATGTACAGAAAATAGCAACAGAGATTAATTTGCAATCAGAATGTGTCTACTGTAGCCAAACATTTTTTACTTGCACTGAGCACTCTGTCAAAATCTAAGGCTATTTCTCTGAGTAGTCACATACTTTTTTACCTCATTCAAGTACTTGATGATAATAGATCATTAACCTCGCCATACTATATCAATCTCAGACAAAGATGATTTAGCATTATTACTGAATGTTTCCCATTGGTATTTAGAGGTGTTTCAATAGAAATTAGTTAAAGATATGATGAAATAATAACTCTCACCTGTGACCCTTCCCTGAGCATCACTGACATAGTACCCAAACGCCTCCCAGTAGTCTGTGTCTTCAGACTGATGTAAAGAATGTAGTGTGACCTCCTGTGTCGGTGGTAAGTTCCCCACAACCACATGGAACTTCTCATCAAAGAGGGCTCTCGATGGTTTTACAGTAATCACAGGAACAGAATTCATGTCACAAATTGTTGTAGTGGAAATGTCCACTAAAACACTTGCACCACTGACCCTCTCGTAATAGAAAAGAAGAGAAGTTGAACCTGTGTTTCTCTCAACTGGCTGAACCATATACCAGAAACGTTCTGCTGATAAGGATAAAAATTACATTTACAGAAATGTTCTTAGATGCTTTGCCCTGACAGGGACTGCCCGTGCGTATTAATGAACTATGACAAATGTGTTAGATCACTGTCCTTGATCTCCCACGCACTTTGTCATCAACAAAGAACCAGATATCCCCATTCTGACTCCTGCTGACATTCTTCCAGTTACTTCAGAAAGTTCACTACAACACCAATTCAATTCTCCACACAAGAGACAGACCAGGAGTTTAACATCTAACTCTAGACAAAATATTGCATGAAACAGCATTTATCATGGGTCTCCTTGACATTGAAATCAATTACTAACATTCAACAATGATTTTCTCTAAACTATACAAACAATATTTATCAGACCTCAAAACAAAATGTCAGAAAGTGATTTAGAGCCTATCGTGACAGTGATATGCTGTCAAGTCCATACAGCTACGGCCATTGATCAAGAACTGTTTATTGGAAATGGGAGCAGTGGGAGTCATCACTGTAAAAACATTGCACTTTTGGAGTAAACTGGCTGATTGATGCTAACCCATTTCTTAAAAGCCCAGTGTAGTCAAAAACATGATTTTCCTGTGTTTTATATATATTTCCACACTATGATCAATCAATCAAATGTATTTATAAAGCCCTTTTTACATCAGCATGTCACAAAGTGATGTTGAGGTTGGAATAATACTTAGAAAATTGTGAAAAGGATGATAATGCCCTTTTAGGGTAAGTGCAGTTTGAAATGATCGGCTGAAATGTAAGCCTGTTTTGGTGGGATGGTGTTTTGGCCTGCCTGCCTAGTTAAAGTTGCAATATGTAACTTTTTGGGAGACCCGACCAAATTCACATAGGAATTTGTGTTCTAGGTCTGTCATCCTCATTGAAAGCATGTCTAAGAAGCGGTAGATCTGTTCTATGTCCGATATTTCTATGCTTCCCGTTCTTAAGTTTTGTTTTTGCGTCATACTTTCGGTTTTGGACACCAGCTTAAAATAGCTGAAAATACAATATTTTTGGTTATGGAAAATATATATCACAGCGGTTTAAAATGGTACAATGATTCTCTACACTATACTTGCTTGTTTTGTCACAAACTGAAATAAGGCAAACTATTAGAATTTTAGCAACCAGGAAATGGCAGAGCGATTTCTGCATAGTGCATCTTTAATAGAACGATAAGAAAGAGAGTTCCAAACCTCTCTGCCAATAAAAGTATATTTTCAGTTTTCTCCTCCCCACTCAGACCAGACCACTCCCAGTTCTATCAACATTCTTGCTTGAGAAATTGCTCTTTGCTAAGAAGCTATTTATGGGGCTTATCTCATTGATGAGAAGAGGCAGGGCGACGGCATTTCAATTTACATCATATGTACATTAACTTTTGAATTTACTTTAGCAACGGAATGTCATGTGCCGAGAGAGGGTTCGGGGCTTGGCAACGGACATTTACCGTAAATATTCCAGTATAGACACTAGCCTGAAAGACCCAGCCACGTTTCATCTTCAATGCCCTTGCTGATGGAAGGAGGTTTTCACTCAAAATCTCACGATACATGGCCCCATTCATTCTTTCCTTTACACGGATCAGTCGTCCTGGTCCCTTTGCAGAAAAACAGCCCCAAAGCATGATGTTTCCACCCCCATGCTTCACAGTAGGTATGGTGTTCTTTGGATGCAACTCAGCATTCTTTGTCCTCCAAACACGACAAGTTGAGTTTTTACCAAAAAGTTCTATTTTGGTTTCATTTGACCATATGACATTCTCCCAATCCTCTTCTGGATCATCCAAATGCACTTTAGCAAACTTCAGACGGGCCTGGACATGTACTGGCTTAAGCAGGAGGACACGTATTGCACTGCAGGATTTGAGTCCCTGGCGGCGTAGTGTGTTACTGATGGTAGGCTTTGTTACTTTGGTCCCAGCTCTCTGCAGGTCATTCACTAGGTCCCTCCGTGTGGTTCTGGGATTTTTGCTCACCGTTCTTGTGATCATTTTGACCCCACGGGGTGAGAACTTGCGTGGAGCCCCAGATCAAGGGAGATTATCAGTGGTCTTGTATGTCTTCCATTTCCTAATAATTGCTCCCAGTTGATTTCTTCAAACCAAGCTGCTTACCTATTGCAGATTCAGTCTTCCCAGCCTGGTGCAGGTCTACAATTTTGTTTCTGGTGTCCTTTGACAGCTCTTTGGTCTTGGCCATAGTGGAGTTTGGAGTGTCACTGTTTGAGGTTGTGGACAGGTGTATTTTATACTGATAACAAGTTCAAACAGGTGCCATTAATACAGGAAACGAGGGGAGGACAGAGGAGCCTCTTAAAGAAGAAGTTACAGGTCTGTGAGAGCCAGAAATCTTGCTTGTTTGTAGGTGACCAAATACTTATTTTCCACCATAATTTGCAAATAAATTCATTAAAAATCCTACAATGTGATTTTCTGGATTTTTTTCCCTCAATTTGTCTGTCATAGTTGACGTGTACCTATGATGAAAATTACAGGCCTCTCTCATCTTTTTAAGTGGGAGAACTTGCACAATTGGTGGCTGACTAAATACTTTTTTCCCCCACTGTATATTTATTTATTACAGATGCAAAAGCCTACACAATGCAGCCCTGCATAAAGCGAGCTCAGCCCTGTTAGTCCTATTGTCCAATCGCAGTTGTCTCTGTCTGTGTAAAGGACCACCGTTAGCTTAGTTTTAAAATATAATTATTATGAACAAGTACAAGGTTGCTTCAGTTTGACAGGGTTTAAATGTTTTCATCCTCCCTTGGGCCAGGAGTTTTTCCAAGTATTTAATTTTTTACTATATGACCGGATTAGAAAAATAATCTGGTCCCATCATAGCCCATATAAAACAGTTTTTTATTTTTTTACCACCTGATATATTACTATGTCACACGTTCAACTTGGGTCTGGAGTTGGTTAGGTTAGGCTACCAGATCAGGAAAAGCTCTGAGCCCCAGGAAAACAATTTCCCCAACAGGACTGTAGGACCTGTGGTGCCACCTCTGACATCAACACACAATGTTACAAATGAAAAAAACATATGATTTGTATTATCCACTATCTAAACATTTCGACATAGTATCAACATAAAAAAAAGCAGCCTAGCGGGGATGGGCTTCCATAGTTTTATGTGGCTCAGTGCATTTGGCTACTGCGACAATTTCAGAATGGAACATGCTGTAATGCTGTTACCGCAATTTCAGATAAAAACTAATTAAAACAAGTCTCAAATATTAGGAAAAAGTCAATACATTTTAGTCTGCTATTACCATTTATACTGTAAGAGTGTTGGCTGAACGAGACAATTCTGTTTACAATGCTCTGCTTGAATCGGGGCAACTGTCGGGAGAGTGCGTGACCTCCTGATGTAGCGCTCGAGACGTGAGAATGTCGCAAGTTTACATTACAATAATGTAGCTCGAGAATCGATACCTCTCGAGAACCTCTTCATATTTCGTCAATAAGAATAGCGCCTTTGTTTTAAATTACAATGGTCAAAAGGAAACAAGCACAGTAAGGTAATTATCTGTTATCCAGAAATGATATGATATTGAGATAAAAACTCACCTTTAAAAGGAATGGGGCGAGTTCTTACATTTTCAACACTTTTCTTTATTCAAGGAAGACCATTTTACAGGCTTGTTACACAACCTATAAGTAATAGAGCCTTTGTAAAAGTAGAAATGCACAGCAGTAAAACTGGAAGAAAAAAATGGCATGATAAGGTCTATTTAATTGAAATGAATGAAAGACTGTATGAAACATGTGTGACAACGCAATAACTCAGAGATCTTCTCAATCTTTGAATGCTATGGCTTGTGTAGATCACCAAAACCAGGAGAAAAGGAATGATATGAGAGTTGGATTAGGATATTGGCTTGTTGAGTTATGTGGTTTCATCCCACCCACACTCGTGTCAACATAATTATTTCATCACATCTCTGATGAGAATTAAGATAAGTCATAATTACTAAAATTATTATAAAATGTCCTTGTGTCTCTGGCCTAGTCACAGATTTGTCAGTGAGGTCACCTCTGTGCTTCGATATAGGTGCTCCTCCAGAAAGGCAAGGGTCTTCTTCCAGGAGTCTTCCTGTGCGTGACTGTGTGGCGCTGTCTCTCCTCCCCAAAGAACCACCACTGCAATCAAATCAGGAGGGGAAGAATCGAACAAAGCGAGAACAAGTGTGATTATTCCACTGCTTCACACAACCCATTTCTATATGTTTGCTAGAAACAGCCATGGAAACAGCCATTACTTTTAAATTGCTATTCAGACTGACAGTATGTAATGTACTTGATTTCAATTGTAGTTATTGCCTGGTAAAACATTAACGGAGAGTAATTTGTCTATCTCCAGGCAAAACAAACAGAATGTGTGACGAGAGTTCTTCACACGTTGTCAGACATAAATGAGTAATTGCAACCATATATCACTGTGATAATGTGTGTTGTATTGTCGATTAGCAGTGGACAAAATTACACATCCCCAAAAACAGCAAATAAGATACTGTCAAACTGTCTCTGATAATAACAAGGACACAAACACACACACACAAAAACACACACCACACACACACAAAAACAGATCCAACGTTAAATTACACTTTTGTCTTGTCCCGGCCACCATGAAGTTGCTGGCACGGATATGTGGGCTATAAGGAGGTTCAATCAGGTGACCAGCTCCAGGGTAGGACAGAGTGGTCAGCAGGTGACTGTTCCCTGCTCTCTCCATCATCTGCTTCATCTGAGGAGGCACAATAACTCTCAGTCAGTTCTACATCAAAGTGTTGGGCCTCAAAAACATACTGTAAAATTACAGTAGAACCACTTAATAATACATATTTCTGCAGATTCCAAGACATGTTAAAAAATGTACTCACGTCCTCTGCTGACTCAGTGGCAGGCCAGTTCTGGTCATCCTCACCCACAATCATTAGAACAGGACATTTCATCTGCCCCACCTAACCAGGACACAGCAGTAAACCATGGGGATAGACAAACACACAAGGGAGAACAGCTATACAGTGAGTATAATGAGGGTATAGGTTAATATCAGGGTAAAAATCCAGTTTGAGTTTAACCCACATCCACTTTCTTGGTTGGGTCAGTTGGAATGGGTAGGAGCAGATCACGCCAGATCACTCGATTCTCCTCATCATAGCGAGTGTTACGGACGTTTCTAGGAAATGAAAGACACAAGATGAGTAAGTTATATCGAATTATTATTATTAAGAGGATCAAAGCGGAAGCACAAATGTATACACATCTTTAAACACGTGATAATACACATACTTATTAATCTCGCTGAAGACATCAGAGAGTGAGCCTTTCACCTGCTGGACATGACTGCCACTCACACATACCAAACACCTGGGCTGAGAGAGGAGCAACAGTTTAAGATAGCCGAAATACAAACGCACACAGACAAAAACACAAATATATACACACATCTCCACATTTTTCTGACAGTGCGGTATGAGCACTCTCCTACCTGAATCACAGTAGAGTACACAGCCATCCCCAAAGCCACTGAGGTGCCAAAGGACAGGCCCAGTATCGCTATCCGGTCCCCACACACCTGAGGGTGCTGTTTCAGAACGGTGAACGCAGCCTAGAGCCAAAAACACGACATTTCATTTGAACTACGACTGTGGTTAGTGTGTCCGCCCTGAGAATGGAAGGTTGGGAGTTCGATCCCCGGCCAAGTCATACCAAAGACTGTATAAATGGGACCCGATGCGTCCCTGCTTGGCCCTCAGCATTAAGGAGAAAAGGAGATAGATTGGGGGTAAGGCCCTGCGATAGACTAGCGTCCTGTCCAAGGGGTGTACTTGTACATCAAGCTGCCTCACGCTACAGAAACAGGAGATAGGCTCCTGCCCTATGAGCCGTTCCGGCACGCACAAGCCAAGGCTCATGCAAGGCTACTTACTAAAAGACTGTCGTACAAAACTTGATTTTAAATTGTTACCACAGTAGTCATATTTTGAAACGTATATTCTGTTTCTTTATTACTGTAGTAATAACTTTATTAAATATGACTGTAAGTACCATAAAAGTGGGAGACGGTTACATTTAGATTTTAGTCAATTAGCAGACGCTCTTATCCATAGCGACTTACAGTAGTGAGTGCATACATTTTTCACACCTATTGTAGGAAATAGGTCTAGTTGTCTAGTCATGTTTTCTTTAAATGTTCATACTTCAACATACCTAAACCAATGACTCATTTTACACGCTATTAAGATAAGAACAAAATCCAAAGTCAGTTCCTACAAATAACAGTTGAATGTGTAGGTTGCGCAAGGGATTGGTTGTGCAGACAAGGTGAATGAACCTTTGGATGAGCTTTGTGGGTTTAATTACCTACAGCTTATAGCTTCCTTCCTGAATAAGAATACACCATATTCAGTACATATCACCTTATGGAAGTAAAATACACTGCTCAAAAATATAAAGGGAACACTAAAATAACACATCCTATATCTGAATGAATTAAATAATCTTATTAAATACTTTTTTCTTTACATAGTTGAATGTTCTGACAACAAAATCACACAGAAATTATCAATGGAAATCAAATTTATCAACCCATGGAGGTCTGGATTTGGAGTCACCCTCAAAATTAAAGTGGAAAACCACACTACAGGCTGATCCAACTTTGATGTAATGTCCTTAAAACAAGTCAAAATGAGGCTCAGTAGTGTGTGTGGCCTCCACGTGCCTGTATGACCTCCCTACAACGCCTGGGCATGCTCCTGATGAGGTGGCGGATGGTCTCCTGAGGTATCTCCTCCCAGACCTGGACTAAAGCATCCGCCAACTCCTGGACAGTCTGTGGTGCAATGTGGCGTTGGTGGATGGAGCGAGACATGATGTCCCAGATGTGCTCAATTGGATTCAGGTCTGGGGAACGGGCGGTCCATAGCATCAATGCCTTCCTCTTGCAGGAACTGCTGACACACTCCAGCCACATGAGGTCTAGCATTGTCTTGCATTAGGAGGAACCCAGGGCCAACCGCACCAGCATATGGTCTCACAAGGGGTCTGAGGATCTCCTCTCGGTACCTAATGGCAGTCAGGCTACCTCTGGCGAGCACATGGAGGGCTGTGGAGCCCCCCAAAGAAATGCCACCCCACACCATGACTGACCCACCGCCAAACCGGTCATGCTGGAGGATGTTGCAGGCAGCAGAACGTTCTCCACGGCGTCTCCAGACTCGGTCACGTCTGTCACATGTGCTCAGTGTGAACCTGCTTTCATCTGTGAAGAGCACAGGGCGCCAGTGGCGAATTTGCCAATCTTGGTGTTCTCTGGCAAATGCCAAACGTCCTGCACGGTGTTGGGCTGTAAGCACAACCCCCACCTGTGGACGTCGGGCCCTCATACCACCCTCATGGAGTCTGTTTCTGACCGTTTGAGCAGACACATGCACATTTGTGGCCTGCTGGAGGTCATTTTGCAGGGCTCTGGCAGTGCTCCTCCTGCTCCTCCTTGCACAAAGGCGGAGGTAGCAGTCCTGCTGCTGGGTTGTTGCCCTCCTACGGCCTCCTCCACGTCTCCTGATGTACTGGCCTGTCTCCTGGTAGCGCCTCCATGCTCTGGACACTACGCTGACAGACACAGCAAACCTTCTTGCCACAGCTCGCATTGATGTGCCATCCTGGATGAGCTGCACTACCTGAGCCACTTGTGTGGGTTGTAGACTCCGTCTCATGCTACCACTAGAGTGAAAGCACCGCCAGCATTCAAAAGTGACCAAAACATCAGCCAGGAAGCATAGGAACTGAGAAGTGGTCACCACCTGCAAAACCAGTCCTTTATTGGAGGTGTCTTGCTAATTGCCTATAATTTCCACCTGTTGTCTATTCCATTTGCACAACAGCATGTGAAATGTATTGTCAATCAGTGTTGCTTCCTAAGTGGACAGTTTGATTTCACAGAAGTGTGATTGACTTGGAGTTACATTGTGTTGTTTAAGTGTTCCCTTTATTTTTTTAAGCAGTGTATATGCTATATATCAGTTGATCACTGTCATTTGAGGCACCTATGACATTAAATATGACAGTGCAGATCAGCCAAAATGCAGTGGTCTAGTAACATATACTGGTACCTCAAAGTATTTGTTCCCCACATGAGAGGTTGAGCCCCCAGAGGTCCGGGGTGTCATGTACTCCAGGGCCAGAGAGACAAAGCCATGTGAGGCCAGGAGGGCAGAGCGATACTCCACCAGACCACCACCTCCGCCCCACAGGTCCAACAGGGCAGGGAAGGGCCCGGGTCCTTCCAACACAACATGGTCTGGTCAGACCTGGGCTATATGCACTCCCCTTATGATAATCATATCTGAACCATATCTTTGGATGATTTTAATTGTAATTATTGAAAGTGAGGTGTATGTAGCTAATAACTATGACATACCTGGTGGCAGGAATAGGGTCCCTGTGACCCCTCCCTCTGTGATGTCAACCCTGCGGACTCCGGGGGCCATGTACCAGCGTTCTGTGACGACACTCGCCAGGGCCGCCTGTTCCCTGAAACCCTGACTCATGTGTCCCCTGTACACAGAGATGTGCACCACCATGGGAGTGTGGACCTCCTTCTTCCTCAACCTAAAATTACAAGATATTGTTTATAATTCAACTGGGTTCCTTTGATGACACAATTACAATTTTGTCAAGGTATTATCTGAAGGGTGGAGTTTCAGTTTACCTGAGTCCAATTCTACTGCCAGGCACTGGTCTCATGCTCCACAACAGTCCCATGGGTTCCACGCCATCATATGTCCCTCCTAAACTTGAATCATTGGCAACTGTAAAAAGATTTAGGCAGTTTATGTAAGAGGGTTTTAAACATGAATTGAACTCTTCAAATGATTGACAATGGTGCAAACAAACTTCAATGAAAATGAGTGACATTAAATACAAGTAGGCTACCATTTACCAATCCTGTAGCATCACTAACATAGTGGCCAAATGCCTCCCAGTAGTCGCCATCATCTGAGTGGATCAGCGCGTGCAAGGTGATATCTTGAATTTGCGGCAAATTCTGGACCATTACACTGAACTTTTCATCGACTAGTCCCCTGGTCGGTTGAAGCAAAAGCAAGGGCGACGCTGCTTTTTCAGACATCCTGTCAAAATTGCATAGAAATGTCCTCTCAACAACAAAGCGACACCGTAAGTAGTTTAAATTGTGAAATGAGACTACAAAGTTAACGAGGCTCAAAGTTCATGTTGACAGACTGAACGTCATAGGCTAGAGCTTGAAAGACTCAAAGAGCAGCATGCATTGGAAGTGTTTACTACTTACACTAGGCTACTTTGTAACAACCAATCCAGACAACAATAAACAATGTAACATCACACAGCAGTTATTATCGCCGCACAAAATAAAGTGTTGCCTAATATACCATATTCTGGAAGTCTTAATTAATGTCGCCAGCTTCTACAAAACGTAACGTTAGCCTATAATGTTACACCGTTTTACCAACTTGCCCGTGTTGTTGTCCTAACGACAGCTGTAGCAAACGGCCATTTCAATTAGGTGCGGAGGCCTACTGAATTGGGTCGGCAAATGGTGCCTAAGAAGATTTACATTGCGTTTCTTATGCTTTAAAAATCAAAATTAATGTGCGCTAAGTTTCTCTCACGAGTGAAATTCAAAACAGTGGAAGTCTGGCAGTGGCAGGACTGTGGCAGAGCGAGACAACGCAGTGGATTAATTTATTTTAAGGGGGAATATGATTTGCCAAATTGAAGGAGGCTCGACATATTATATAGAGGAAGTTATGTAGCCTAATAACACTTTATTTGAACTAAGTTTTGTAACCTAGGTCTAATAATTGCTGCAATTTTTTTTGTTGCTATCAATTGGAAAGCATCTTCAATAACGTGTTTTTTTATTTAACCTTTATTTAACCAGGTAAGCCAGTTGAGAACAAGTTCTCATTTACAACTGCGACCTGGCCAAGATAAAGAAAAGCAGTGCGATAAAAACAACAACACAGAGTTCATGGACAAGTGTGGGGATGTTGTTGCGATTTTTAACGAAAATATTGGTTGGGCAAACTCAATCAAAAAGCTAATATGCATCGAAACCACTAAACACACAAACGTGATATCATTAGGTTATGATCAGTTTACTTCCCATAGTCAAATTCAGCATGGTCAATAATATTGCTACATTGTTAGAGTATTGGGACGCAGACACAACACGTTCTGAGTGCGTCTGCCTACCTGTTACCAAGATGATACGGTTAAGTATAAAGCAACAACGTTTATAAAGTTACTCCATCGCTTCATTAATTGCATAGATACAGTTCTATGGGTATAACAGCCTGACATCAAACATTAACAAGACACGTCGTATAACTACCTCAAAACAGATGTTAGCCACTGCTTCTATCCACCACCAACCACAGTTTAATCCTCTTTTACAGCTTTCTTTATTTTAACGTATGATCTTATTTAAATTTTTAGTGGCTGATGAGCACCGATACGTTTTATGTCTACATTTTCTTCATAACGCTACATTTGAAATTGATTTGCTAGGAGATAGTCAACGTATTTCCTGATAACTTTTCAGCTAGCTAGAAGACGTGGTAAACAATGAAGTTGACACACATCAGTCCAATCAAAGTTATCGGAGAAAAGACGTCGTTTGAACTGTGGCCAATGACCTTAACATGCTGACAAGACCGCATGCGCATGTAGATTTTTTCCTCCCACACCAGACGCGATCAGGACACGCAGGTTGAAATATCAAAACGAACTCTGAACCAACTATATTAACTTGGGGACAGGTCGGAAGCATGAAACATTTATGGCAATTTAGTTAGCTAGCTTGCTGTTGCTAGCTAATTTGTCCTGGGATATAAACATTGGGTTGTTATTTTACCTGAAATGCAGTAGGTCCTCTACTCCGACAATTAATCCACAGATAAAAGGGTACCGAGTTTTTTTTCTAGTAATCTCTCCTCCTTCAGGCTTCTTCTTCTTCTTTGGACTTTATATTGCGTTTGGCAACCAACTTTAAAAGGTGCATTACCACCACCAACGGGACTGGAGTGTGTCGTTCAATCGCCCACGTGGGTAGATGCTCCTAAAAACCAATGAGGAGATGGGAGAGGCAGGACTTGCAGCGCGTTGAGCTTCACAAATAGAACCGAGTTCTAATTTAGCGCCTGGCCACGCAGACGCTCGTTGACGTGCGCGAGCAGTGTGGGTGCAATGATTGAATAACATGTATGTGTACATGTATTTTGCGGTGTGGTCAGCATGTAACGTGCTAATTAAAATCTAATTAAGATCTAATTAAAATCTAATTAAGATAACTGTATGTCATAAATTCAAATAAAGTGTCACAATGTTGCGATAAGCCTAAACGTAGCAAAATGTCAGTACGTCACTAAAAAGACAGTGTTATGCCCGGCGGGATATTACTTTAGGCTAAAATTGTTGGCTGTAGGTGAAGTGTAGGACACATGTCATAACTGGGTCATAAAAGTGTTTTTACAGTCATTCTGTCAAAATTACATTGGAATTGTTCACAATGGAACCGAATGGCATTTCCTCAATTGAAGAACTGTTTGCAATGACAGTCATTGACAATAAGCCTCCCTTGTCCTATCCCCCTGTATGACGCATGTACCCCATAATTCTCGTTTCCATGTAAAACTTGTTCGCAATAAACACAGCCATTGGCTGGATTCTCAGAGAAAGAGAGTGGGAGAGGGATGGAGAGAGGAGAGCGTTCATGTAGGCAAATTACAGACTACAAAGGGAAGCACAGCCGCGAGCTGCCCAGTGACACAAGACTTCCAGACGAGCTAAACCACTTCTATCAGCTGTTCCGGATGACTATGTGATCACGCTCTCCGTTGCCGATGTGAGTAAGACTTTTAAGCAGGTCAACATTCACAAGGCCGCAGGGCCAGACGGATTACCAGGACGTGTACTCAGAGCATGTGCTGACCAACTTGCAAGTGTCTTCACTGACATTTTCAACATGTCCCTGACTGAGTCTGTAATACCAACATGTTTCAAGCAGACCACCATAGTCCCGTGCCCAAGGACTCTAAGATAACCTGCCTAAATGACTACCGACCCGTAGCACTGACGTCTGTAGCCATTAAGTGCTTTGAAAGGCTGGTCATGGCTCACATCAACAGCATTATCCCAGAAACCCTAGACCCACTCTAATTTTCATACCGCCCCAACAGATCCACAGATGATACAATCTCTATTGCACGCCACACTGCCGTTTCCCACCTGGACAAGAGGAACACCTACGTGAGAATGCTATTCATTGACTACAGCTCAGCATTCAACACCATAGTGCCCTCAAAGCTCATCACTAAGCTAAGGATCCTGGGACTAAACACCTCCCTCTGCAACTGGATCCTGGACTTCCTGACGGCCCGCCCCCAGGTGGTAAGGGTAGTTAACAACACATCTGCCACACTGATCCTCAACACGGGGGCCCCTCAGGGGTGCGTGCTCAGTCCCCTCCTGTACTCCATGTTCACCCATGACTGCATGGCCAGGCACGACTCCAACACCATCATTAAGTTTGCTGACGACACAACAGTGGTAGGCCTGATCACCGACAACGATGAGACAGCCTATAGGGAGGAGGTCAGAGACCTGGCCGTGTGGTGCCAGGATAACAACCTCTCCCTCAACGTGACCAAGACAAAGGAGATGATTGTGGACTACAGGAAAAAAAAGAGGACTGAGCATGCCCCCATTCTCATCGACGGGGCTGTAGTGGAACAGGTTGAGAGCTTCAAGTTCCTTGGTGTCCACATCACCAACGAACTATCATGGTCCAAACACACCAAGACAGTCGTGAAGAGGGCACGACAAAGCCTATTCCCCCTCAGGAGACTAAAAAGATTTGGCATGGGTCCTCAGATCCTCAAAAATGTCTACAGCTGCACCATCGAGAGCATCCTGACTGGTTGCATCACCGCCTGGTATGGCAACTGCTTGGCCTCCGACCGCAAGGCACTACAGAGGGTAGTGCGTACGGCCCAGTACATCACTGGGGCCAAGCTTCCTGCCATCCAGGACCTCTATACAAGGCGGTGTCAGAGGAAGGCCCTCAAAATTGTCAAAGACTCCAGCCACCCTAGTCATAGACTGTTCTCTCTGCTACCGCACGGCAAGCAGTACCGGAGTGCCAAGTCTAGGTCCAAAAGACTTCTCAACAGCTTCTACCCCCAAGCCTTAAGACTCCTGAACAGCTAATCATGGCTACCCGGACTATTTGCACTGCCCCCCCACCCCATTATTTTACGCTGCTGCTACTCTGTTAATTATTCATGCATAGTCACTTTAACTCTACCCACATGTACATATTACTTCAACTACCTCAACTAGCCGGTGCCCCCGCACATTGACTCTGCACCGGTACCCCCCTGTGTATATAGCCTCCCTACTGTTATTTTATTTTACTTCTGCTCTTTTTTTCTCAACACTTTTTTTGTTGTTGTTTTATTTTTACTTTTTTGTAAAAAATAAATGCACTGTTGGTTAAGGGCTGTAAGTAAGCATTTCACTGTAATGTCTGCACCTGTTGTATTCGGCGCATGTGGCCAATAAAATTTGATTTGATTTGATTTGTCCCTGCTGTTTTTCCTGGAGAGAAGTGGCTTCTTTGCTGCCCTTCTTGACACCAGACCATCCTCCAAAAGTCTTCGCCTCACTGTGCGTGCAGATGCACTCACACCTGCCTGTTGCCATTCCTGAGCAAGCCCTGCACTGGTGGTGCACAGAACCCGCAGCTGAATCAACTTTAGGAGACGGTCCTAGCGCTTGCTGGACTTTCTTGGGCGCCCTGAAGCCTTCTTCACAACAATTGAACCTCTCTCCTTGAAGTTCTTGATGATCCGATAAATGGTTGATTTAGGTGCAATCTTACTAGCAGCAATATCCTTGCCTGTGAAGCCGTTTTTGTGCAAAGCAATGATGACGGCACGTGTTTCCTTGCAGGTAACAGAGGAAGAACAATGATTTCAAGCACCACCCTCCTTTTAAAGCTTCCAGTCTGTTATTCTAACTCAATCAGCATGACAGAGTGATCTCCAGCCTTGTCCTCGTCAACACTCTCACTTGTGTTAACAAGAAAATCACTGACATGATGTCAGCTGGTCCTTTTGTGGCAGGGCTGAAATGCAGTGGAAATGTTTTTTTGGGGATTAAGTTCATTTTCATGGCAAAGAGGGACTTTGCAATTAATTGTAATTCATCTGATCACTCTTCATAACATTCTGGAGTATATGCAAATTGCCATCATAAAAACTGAGGCAGCAGACTTTGTGAAAATGAATATTTGTGTCATTCTCAAAACGATTGACCACGACTGTACAGTGATCTTACCATATCCAAAATTGAAGTTCAACAGCCAAGCTGCTTCATGACCTTTATTTTAGACTCCATAAGGAGGAAGTGGAAAGGGTTGTCAAAAAGAAGATGTGGTAGGAGTGTTGACGCAAGTATAGAAATGGAGAGAGAGAGAGATGCAGAAGGAGGGAGGTACATAGTTTGTTCGAATGTACGAGTGCAAAGAGAGAAAGAGAGTAGAGCTCAAGAGTTGGATACATAGCATTACAGTATATCAGGAACTACATCTTGAGACAGCTGGACCAACCAGACATTACTGAGTCTCTCACTGTGTCCGAGAGAAGCGGAGCCCCAGAATCTACAAGATGAGGAACCTACTGATATTCACCATCCTCTCCTTCATGACAGGTAATAAGCTTGTTATTGCACTCTATAACAATGTAATAACACCCAGTTAGTCTTCTTATAAAGACTTTTACTCTAGAGTATGGACTACCAATTTGTTTGGATAATATGATGCCACCACTGTTTAAAAATGTCTAATCTCAATGCTGATAGCTGCATTATTGAGGAACGTTTTTACTTCCTAGGACTGTGATATGGGGTAGTTTTATCTACCTTAGTTGAATGCAGTGACTGTATAAGACCGCTTGCTAAATGACCGAAATGTAAATGGCAATCTCAGATTGTGTGAGCTGCCTTGAAGTGGAAGGATACCCAGGAGGAACTGTCATCTTCAACTGTAAATACCCAGACGCATAAAACAGCAACCAGAAATATTTCTGTAAGAAGTCCAGCCAGAGTTGTGAAGAGAAAATTAGAATTGAGACAAAGAAGACCTGGGAGAACAAGGATAGATTCTCTCTAAAAGACACTGACAGTAAACTCTTCACGGTGGTCATCGAAAAACTGCATTATAGCGATGAAGGATACTACTACTGCGATGTGGACACACCAGACATACCGTCAACTTGCTGTAGGACTAAGGTGGAGCTGGAAGTAAAGGAAGGTGAGGAAAATTATTTTAACAGTCTAATTCCCTGTGTGATGAGAATAGCTAGTCACGGCGGTCAGTCAACTAAGGGCGAAAGGAGAGACTGAGGTTATTAATAAAGGCTGAGGTTGTTTCCATTGACAGATGACTGCTGTAGGAGATCATTCACAGAGACTGCCTATCTGGGAGGAAATGCTACCATCAGCTACAAGTATCCAAATGACCATAAGGACAGCATCAAGTATTTCTGCAAACAAGATGGTCACTTCACCTGTAAATACAATATAGATTTACAATCTGGAAAAGAATCAAACAAACAAGGTAGTTTTTTGTGTCTGACAAGAGAGAGTCTTCACTGTGACAATCACCAACCTGACTGGGGAGGATACAGGGATATACTGGTGTGGTGGGAAACTACTGCCTACATCACCCTGATCACTGAAGTACAACTTAAAGTTATTAATGGTGAGTGTAAGCATTGCTTTCTATGATGAGTGTGATAGAAGGAGTCAGGCGCAGGAGGGTAAATCACAGAATACAGAGTTTATTCCATCGTACACAAATGCGCTGGATAGCGACACACGGAAACAGGCACAGGAAACTATCTACCCTGGCAATACACGGTACGGGATACTCCACCAATATACAGGCACAGGGGAAATATCTACCCCGGCAATACAAAGGGAGAGTAGCTACACCGAGCTACACTACTCTCACAAATAACAATCACCCACAAGGACAAGGGGGGCAGAGGGAACACTTATACACTGACTAATGAGGGGATAAGAACCAGGTGTGTGTATTTGACAAGACAAGACAAATGGAATGATGATATATGGAGCGGCAGTGGCTAGTAAGCCGGTGACGACAAACGCCGAAGCCTGCCCGAACAAGGAGGGGAGGCAGCCTCGGCAGAAGTTGTGACAGCTTTCATATCATCTACTTGTCACGATCGTCGGGAACAGAGGCGGACCAAGGCGCAGCGTTGAAGGCAAACATACTCTTTATTTAGTGATTACACAACAAAAATAACAAAACGATAACGTGACGTCCACGGTCTAAACACAAACCACACTGGAACAAGATCCCACAACCACTGTGGGAAAACAGCCTGTCTAAATATGGTTCCCAATCAGAGACAACCAGCAACAGCTGACACTCGTTGCCTCTGATTGGGAACCACTCTGGCCAACCTAGAAATACAACTACTAGAAAAACAAATGAAACTCACACCCTGGCTCAACATACACGTGTCCCCAGAGCAAGGGCGTGACAGTACCCCCCCCTAAAGGCGCAGACTCCGACCGCGCCAACTAAATACCACAGGGGAGGGACCGGGTGGGCACTCCGCCTTGGCGGCGGATCCGGCTCCGGGCCTGATCCCCACTCCCTCTCCAACCCCCCAAAGTACCCCTGGTCCGGTCTGGCCCCGCTGGCCGGAGCTGGACTGCACACTGGTGGAACGGATTGCTCTAGCTCCGGCGTGAAGCAGCTGACCGGTGCCGGACCAGGCACCGGTGGAACAGGCACGGGCCGTGCCGGACTGACGACGCACACCACTGGCTTGGTGTGGGGAACAGGCACGGGCCGTGCCGGACTGACGACGCACACCACTGGCTTGGTGTGGGGAGCAGGAGCGGGCCGGACCGGGCTGGCGACGTGCACCATTGGCCTGGTGCGGGGAGCAGGAACAGGCCGGGCCGGGCTGGCGACGCGCACCATAGGCTTGGTGCGGGGGGCAGGAGCGGGCCGGACCGGGCTGGCGATGCGCACCATTGGCCTGGTGCGGGGAGCAGGAACAGGCCGGGCCGGGCTGGCGACGCGCACCATAGGCTTGGTGCGGGGAGCAGGAACAGGCCGGGCCGAGCTGGCGACGCGCACCATTGGCTTGGTGCGGGGAGCAGGAACAGGACGGGCCGGGCTGGCGACGCGCACCATTGGCTTGGTGCGGGGAGCAGGAACAGGACGGGCCGGGCTGGCGACGCGCACCATTAGCTTGGTGCGGGGAGCAGGAACAGACCAGACCGTACTGGGGACACACACCACTGGCTCTACGCAGGGATCTGGAACGGGCCGGACCGGACTGGTAACACACCCCAGTACCTCTCGCTGTGCCTCTACACCTTCCTTCCCCTCTTTGACCAGTGGCCCCCGTAACCTGGCGGCCTCCTCTGCCAACCCGCTGGGCCGCTCTATCGCGGTCTCCTGCTGCCCCGTCGTCCACGGCGTTAGCCCCCCCCTAAAAAAATTCTGGGCTTCTCTCCTACCCGTGGACCAGGTCTCCATACTTTCCGCCAGCCTTTCGCCCTTCTGCTTCCACGTCAAGCCCCTCTCTTGCTCACCCGGCTTGACCCAGTCGAGGAGGCGCTGGATATCCGCCAGAGATTTCCCTGGCGATGGCTCCCTGCTTGGTCCAGTTCTGGTGGGATCTTCTGTCACGATCGTCGGGAACAGAGGCGGACCAAGGCGCAGCGTTGAAGGCAAACATACTCTTTATTTAGTGATTACACGACAAAAATAACAAAACGATAACGTGACGTCCACGGTCTAAACACAAACCACACTGGAACAAGATCCCACAACCACTGTGGGAAAACAGCCTGTCTAAATATGGTTCCCAATCAGAGACAACCAGCAACAGCTGACACTCGTTGCCTCTGATTGGGAACCACTCTGGCCAACCTAGAAATACAACTACTAGAAAAACAAATGAAACTCACACCCTGGCTCAACATACAAGTGTCCCCAGAGCCAGGGCGTGACACTACTCAGCACAGTTTCTTTTCCCTTCAATTTATTTAGATTTTAGACAACAGAGAAATAAGGCCTACTAGTATCTTGGTCACAAAGCAACTATTTTTGTGTTGCTTTGAATATGCAGAGTATGAAACATAATTCTCTAGAATAGCCTTCCATAGTACAAATACAGTCAGCACTTCCTGTTGTGTTGCTAAAATTCCTTCTCAAATAGTTTTTCCTTGATTCCTTGTGTCCACTTTCTTCGCCTCCTTCTCCAAACGCATTGCAGGAGATACTCCAAGGTCCCTCCCCTCTGACCTTTTCCTCCAATGTGTTTTGAGAAGGAGGCGAAGAGAGAAGACACAAGTAATCAAGGAAAGACACATTGGGAAAGACCCTTTTCTTTTTGTCACTTCTTGTGGCGAATCGTTCTGTGGTGTGCTAAGATTTCTGGGCATGCTCAGTCATGAGATTGTGGTCTGTGAAGGAGTTGGGGGTTTTGCCAGTTCCTTTTTACACTTCAATTGTAGTCTTTGCGCTGTGACGTCAACCACAATCTGTACCATGTCCAGCTGCCTATTGGTCATTTCAACCAATTAACTGTCTTATGTTATCATCACCAAAGATCTGTGGGGCTACTGTATTACTCCATAATTCATATTTTCTTGTGATAGGAGACTGTCTCTGTGAACAGATTATGTTTAATGTTAAGTGGTTCGAGCACTTGACCACTGCCGATTATATTTTTTTTTATAAAGTACGATTTGCATGTGAACATCATCAACGTCATGTATTGCACCTCTATAATGGTTGTCGATTGTATGTGTGCCCACTCTTTGTGTGGCTGTAATAGTGGAAAGCAGTTAAAAAATGTCCAATCTTTTTGTGTCTCTAACCATTACTTCACGCAAGACAACAGCAGTGACCACCACCACAGTGACCACCACCACAGTGACCACCACCACAGTGACCACCGCAGTGACCACCGGAGTGACCACCACACTGAACACCATGTCTCCTGCATCTTCATCCATGTCACCATCAACGCTAACGGGTAAAGACAATGTCACTTTGATAAGTACATTTGGTTCTAGGGCAGGTAGCCTAGCAGATAGGAGCGTTGGGCCAGTAACCGAAAGGTTGCTGGTATGAATCCCCGAGCTGACCACATGAAAAATCTGTTGATGTGCCCTTGAGCACGGCACTTAACCCTAATTGCTCCTGTTAGTTGCTCTGGATAAGAGCCTCTACTAAAATGTAAAACAATTTTCTCTTCTTAACAGCTTGCCAATACATAGGAGTCTTTTGAAATATAGTTTAACTTTGAGTCTCAAAGTTTGTTCCGCTGCATATTGATTCACTAAGTTACACTGAAAGGACTATATGTAAGCAGAACAGAAGAGCTGATTGCATGGGGTCTACTCTCTTGCTCTTTGTGTGTGTGTCTTCCAGGCAACTCTGTGGTCATCATTGGGTTCTATATAGTACCAGAAAAGGGTTATATATAGTACCAGAAAAAGGTTCTATATAGTACCAGAAAATGGTTCTATATAGTACCAGAAAAGGGTTCTATATAGTAGCAGAAAAGGGTTCTATATAGTAGCAGAAAAGGGTTCTATATAGTACCAGAAAAATGTTCTATATAGTACCAGAAAATGGTTCTATATAGTACCAGAAAAGGGTTCTATATAGTAGCAGAAAAGGGTTCTATATAGTAGCAGAAAAGGGTTCTATATAGTACCAGAAAAGGGTTATTTGGCTTGTAATGATAGAGTGCCCCTAGATACCCTTTTCTGAACTTCAAAGAACCAAGTAAGGGCTCAAAGGATTTTTTGAGTCATGATGGTTCCACACAGAACTATCACCCTTACCAAAAAACGCTTGAAGAACTCTCTTTTCCAAGTGCGCGCACACACACACATACACACACGCCATGTACAAGTTGCTATCCTTTGTTCCTTACTGGGAAGTAGAGAACTCAAGGTGAATAGTGAGGGGTGTGCTGACTGTTGGTGGAAATGCAGGTGTGACAGTTTTCCTCTCTCTAATTCTCTCCCTATGAGTGATGTGTTTCTTGTGTTCCACAGGAGCTGTCTCCTCAACACACAGGGTGAGAGCAGATGTTGGGAATAATATAAAGGTTAGTGTGTGTGTGTGTCTGTGTGTGTGAGAGAGAGAGAGAGAGAGAGAGAGAGAGAGAGAGAGAGAGAGAGTTTATGTAAGTGTGTGTCAAACTATGTCCTCCCCTTCAGCATGTACTCCTCATCCTCTTCTTTCTTCCTCTTCTCATTCTCCTCCTCCTCTTCCTCCTCCTCTTCCTTCTCTCCAGGGTGGCCATGGTGAAATAAAAGTGCATCCCCTACAGCTAGACTCAGGTCCGGCGACCACCACCAACTTACCCACACACCCATCTGACACTACGCCAGTGTCAAGTTCCACAAGAACTCCGGCAGCCCCAACGAAACCACCGCCGCCATCGCTAACGAGGGCACTTCTTCCACTGACTGCGCCACTGTGAGCTTTGGTCGAAGCCCGCCTACTCTATTCACCCTGACCAATGAATGACATGACAAAAATAGAATACAATAGAATAGATTACAATAGAGTAGAATACAATACAATAATATACAATAATATACAATACAATACAATACAATATAATTAAATAGAATACAATACAATCAAATCAAATCAAATCATTGCACTTTATAGTCATGTTAATGAAAAACTTAAATTTGTCTTCTGCCTCTCCAGTCTAATGTCTTGAAATGTAATATTTACATTTTTGAAATATACACACTGTGTGCTGCACTGAAGTACTCAGACACAATACCCATATAAATAACAGTTTGTGCACAAATCACAATGAAACCTCATCAACTTCCCAGCTGTCAGACAGGCTCATTCCTGCTGAAGATTCTTCTATTGCCACCGCTGGCTATGGATTCTGCTGTTGAAAGTATTTTTCTGTGTTTTCAGAGTGGGATCATATTACTGTATAAACAGCAGAGGGCGGTGTAGGCTAGGTTTCTGCTATGTGTTTCTCAGTGGCATGTTTTGGTGGTATTGAATCAGGATTGCTGTAAACTGGGTAAGAAGGGAGAGGGAGAGCAGATAATTTGTGAGCGCTTCAACTTAACTTGGTGGCATAATTGCTTGTCGATGGGAATATCCTGTTATAGAGACACAGCCCACATTTCAATACTATGAGTTTGTAATTGGGAGCCTAAAACAGTGTGTGTGTGTCAAATCAAATCCAATGGTATGTCACATGCGCCAAATACAACTGGTGTAGACTTTACCGTGAAATGCTTGCTTACGAGCCCTTCCCAACAATGCATAGTTTAAAAATAAAATAGTAACACAAGAGGAATTAAATACACAAGAATGGAGCTATATACAGGGAGTACCAGTACCAGATCAATGTCAGAGGTACAAGGTATTTTGAGGTAGATAGTGTATGTACATGAAGGCAGGGTTAAGTGACTAGGCATCAGGATAGATAATAATAAGAGTAAAATAAAGAACATAGTAGCAGCAGCAAATTATGAGTATAGAAGTGTATATATGTGTGTTTGTGTTGTGTCGGCATGCGTGTGTGTGTTATGTTTGTGTGTGCGTATGTAGTGTATGTACATTTGTGTGGGAGTGTCAATGTAGTGTGTGTGGGTGAGTGAGTGTGTATATGGTGTGTAAATATAGTCTAGTGAGTGTGCGTAGGGTCAGTGCAAGATAGCGATAGTTTGGGTACCATTAATTGACTATTTAGCAGTCTGGCTATTTAACAATCTGATGGCTTGGGGGTAGAAGCTGTCTTGGAGCCTGTTGGTCCGAGAGCCGATGCTCTGGTACTATTTGCCGGACGGTAGCAGAGTGAACAGTCTATGGCTTGGGTGGCTGGAGTCTTTGGCAATTTTTCGGTCCTTCCTCTGACACCGACTGATATAGAGGTCCTGGATGGCAGGGAGCTCGGCCCCATTGATGTACTTGGATATCCGCATCACCCTCTGTAATGCTTTGCAGTCAAGGGCGGTGCATTTGTCATACCAAGCGGTGATGCAGCCAATCAAGATGCTCTCAATGGTTTAATTGTAAAACTTTTTGAGGATTCGAGAGCCCATGCCAAATCTTTTCAGCCGTACCCGCTTTAGGACTGTACAGGTGTGTGTGGACCATGTTAAGTCCTTAGTGATCCTGAAGCTCTCAAACCGCTCCACAACAGCCTCGTTGATGGGGGCGTGCTCTCCCGTCTTTCTCCTATAGTCCACGATCAGCTCCTTGGTCTTACTGATGTTGAGGGAGAGGTTGTTGTCCTGGCACCATACTGCTAAGTCTCTGACCTCCTCCCTGTAGGCTGTCTCATTGCCGTCGGTGATCACGCTTTCCACCGTCGTGTCGTCAGAAAAGTTGATGATGGGGTTGGAGTTGTGCTTGGCCACACAGCCGTGGGTAAACCAAGGAACATTCAGACAAGTGGGGACATTAGGGTTAGGGGCTAAGGTTAAGGTTAGGGTTTGGATAAGATTAAGAGTTAGAATTAGGGTTAGGGGTTAGGGGTTCACTTTAAGGTTAGGAGTTAGGGTTAGGGGTTTGGGTTAGGGTTAGGTTAAGGGAAAATAGGACTTTGAAAGGGAATCAATTGTTTGGCCCCCACAAGGATAGTAAAACAAATGTGTGTGTGTGTGCGTGTGTGTGTGCTCATTGCTGTACAGTGTGTTGTTATTGCTTGTGTGTGCAATTAGGGCTTGTGTGCACAAAAATGCAGAAGACATAAGATCATCTCTTTGTTCTCTTTTGTTTTGAAATTATATCAATAATCCATTGAGCTCAATTCCTAATCTAATCTCAGAACAAAACACTGGCATTTAAAAAGTTAATCTGTTTACCAGAGAAATCCATACATTATCCTGCTGTACACTGTCTGTACAGAAAATACACTTGGAGGGGCTGGAGATATTCCACACAAAATGACAATATGTGGAGGGGCTGGAGTCCATACATTATCCTTTTGTACACTGTCTGTAAAGCACATACAATTGGAGGGGCTGGAGACAGTCCACACAGAATGTCAATATACGGCCTATGTTGCTGATGTGGACATTCCAGGTGACAGGGTAGCCAGAACAATGGAAAAGAATCACAGATATGGAGCTGAGACGACAAGGGATGAGACAATCCACATTTTGGGAGGGCCCCCCCCACCCCCCCCGCATCTGACATTCCGATGCAAAGCACGCTGTTATTCCAGGCTGGTAGACAGGACGAGAAAAGTGACGCCAACGGGAAGAGCTCTGGACTGGATCAACCAGATGGGCGCGTGTGGAGCCGGTGATGTCATTATGGATGGGGGTGAAGGTGGAAGGCACAGGGATGGTGTGTGTGGATATAAGACCATAGTTTATGTCTTGCAGTTGAGTGCCATGCAAATGGGGACTAGTACTCCTTTTACCTCAAGGGGATTCTGTACTGTGTGGATGTGTAAAACATTTCTTATACATCATCCCTTTGCTTGTGCCCTGTGTTTTGTGCCAACTGACTGGCAAGAGGAAAGACTCACGGCACAGCCGATTTCATCATGCCCAAAGCTGTGTCCCCATGTTTTGTGTCCAGTGGTCCGTTCTATGGGTTTGAACATGAACAGTTCAATAGACTTCGGTAGACCTACAGTATTTTCTCAGGACGTTCCCAACATCTCAACAACCCCATGTCCCTCAGGGGGCTCTCCTTGTGTGTGCATTCCCAGGCATACGCCCTTAACATTTTGGGTCAAAGTCAGCAGGATTCCGAATGAGCTAAGCGTCGTTAAACCAGAACCATGTGAGGTCTGTCAGTGGAGTGGAATCCGACACGGTGATCTCAGCGTCTATACCCTGACGTGGCCTAGGCCCAGACCCAGTCAGTCAGTCTCCACCTGCTGTCTCTGGAAGTCTTTAACGCTTAAGAAGACGTCCTCCCCCCTGATCCTTTCCATACGCCTGACTCCTGTAAAACCCACGTGCATTCCATAACAACAGACGCAAATTCCACAAACTGTACTGAATTCGAAAGGTATGACATAATTTTTGCTTTGTTGTTTTATGAGTTAGAAGGGTTGGTTGATGACTGCATGATGGCATATTGTGAAAGAGCTGGCCTTCCTCAATCACTTAAAAGGCTTAAAACAAAGACTGAGATAAAAACTGTTCAAAAGTATTGTATTTATTTTTAAAACTTCATTTCCAGAGCAAGTTAAAACCATGAATACATTGGCAGCTTAAAACTGTGTCTCACCTAGTTTAACAGACATTCCCCTGACAAACATTTGGGCAGACCTATTTAAAATGGCAGGTGACCTAATGCTATAGAGGTCTGAGCACAGGAGGTTGGTGGCACCTTAATTGGGGAGAACGGGCTCGTTGTAATGGCTGGAGCGGAATACGTGGAGTGGTATCAAATACATCAAACACCTGGTTTCCATGTGTTTTTTTATTTTTTATTTATTTTATTACATTTACATTTTTACATTTTAGTCATTTAGCAGACGCTCTTATCCTTACATATTTTTTTTTACATATTACTCCTTTTTCTCCCCAATTTCGTGGTATCCTATTGGTAGTTACAGTCTTGTCCCATCGCTGCAACTCCCGTACGGACTAGGGAGACGCGAAGGTCGAGAGCCGTGCGTCCTTCGAAACACAACCCAACCGAACCGCACTGCTTCTTGACACAATGCCCACTTAACCCGGAAGCCAGCCGCACCAATGTGTCAGAGGAAACACCGTACACCTTGCGCCCGGCCCGCCGCTGGAGTCACTAGTGCACGATGGGACAAGAACATCCCTGCCGGCCAAACTCTCCCCTAACTTGGACGACGCTGGGCCAATTGTACGCCGCTCCATGGGTCTCCCGGTCGCGGCCGGCTGCAACAGAGCCTGGACTCGAACCAGGATCTCTAGTGGCACCGGTTTCCATGTGTTTGATGCCATTCCATTTGCTCCGTTCCGGCCATTATTATGAGCCGTCCTCCTCTTAGCAGCCTCCTGTGGGTCTGAGGTGGTGGATAAGTTAACTTAGAACTGTTGAAGTTTGCAAGTGACTGAAGGAATAAATACATACACAAAACACTACTTAAATAAATAACTTGATTAAATAAATACAGTAAATATGACTGAACCAGAATGTTTTCGGGTGAGGAGCCACTAAGTGATACCTGCAAACCAGTGAAAACTTAGAAAATACTCCCCCACATGACATCAGCATACAAACCTATAGAAATGAGCTCATAGCTAGCCTATATGGTGCCATTGAGAGCCCTCTATTTACAAAATCAGAAGGCTCTCGTGCTATATACTTGTAGACCAATAGAAAACGGGACGCCAGTTTCATGGTGTCACACCCCTGCAAACCAATGGAAAAAGCAGGCAGGCCAAAACAACAACCCTCAGTCTGGGCTGTGTAAACTCAATGACCCCTCTCTGTTTAATGGCCCCCCACCCAACACGCAACACACCATCTCACCTTTGACCCCTAAAGAGGCCCCATTTGTTGTGGCATTAGCCGAGTGAGCGCACAATGACAAACTGGCC